TCATTAGAAAAGGCATTATCTTGTCACAAAATGTATATAATGAAGGAAATTTTAAAATGGTGTCACACACAAATACCCCAGAACTTCTTGCTGTCAGCAATTAGAAGAGCTTTATTTACCTAATGCAGACAAAGAGGCTATAAATCCTTTAGGGAGTTAAATGCACAAGCAGTGGAAAAAAACCATGAGATCATCATCACATCATCCCCTGACAGAGTCTCAGGAGAAGTCACTGAAACCCAGAGAAAATCTAACTGGTAATTAATACATGAGACTGTATGTGCCCCTTAGGGACCGGAATGAAAACACCAACTGAATCAGCCTATCAACCCACTGAGACATTTGTGTAAGATTTGTGAGCTGCACTTCTTGCATCCAAGCCAGCCCAGTGATATCCAATTCTAAATTTGGAGGCATAAACCTGAGAATAATTGGGCATTTATTATGTGCCTAGCCTAGTACTAGGTGCTACATGTATAACTTTTACTTTGTCCTGCAAGCAGCAGTCAAATCATTTTATTAGCAGTTTTGATGGAAGACCTGTCCTCTTCCTTAACCTGCTCCTGACATACCATCCTGTAAGTCTTAGGATCTAAAGAGTATTAACCACAGTTCATTCTCCACTTTTCCAACCTGACAGCCTTAATAACTGAACTCAGAACTATGTTCCTCCAGTGCCAGGAGACCTCAGTGATGTTACAGCTGAAGAGTGACCTCCTCCTCAACTCTGGCATATTTATATAGTTCAGCCTTACTGAATGAGACCCATGCAGCCAGCTCCATCTGGGGCCATGCTCTCCCAGAATGTCCACAAGTCAAGGGATCTCTGCTTTCATTCCTGTTTTTCTTGAAGGCTGGAGCCAGTGGAAGTCAACCAGACTGCTAGAAAAAATATTAGCTCTCAAGGCTATTTTGGCATCCAGTGGTATAATCTAGTTGATTGGGCTCTATAAATATCTAACATAGCAGAGACAAGAGAAATCTTTTTTGAAATATTATAGAATGTCACATATGGATAGATCTGAGTCCTGAAGTATTAATCTAAATATTAATACCATTGGCTTCCACCATGGTCAAGAGTATTTTCTCCTGTTGGTCTTAACTTGTTCTAAACTGAAAACTTGGGCATTATTAAACCATATTTTTCTAAGTTTATAAATAGAGGAAAATAAAAAAATGAGTGACCTGTATAATTAGGTTTTTCACATAGAATTAACCAAAGCCTAGTTTTTCAAAGTCCTTATTTACACATATCAAATATGCTTCTTTAATTAAAATAGAAGATATTGAAATAATAATCCAGAATAAGCTTTTTCGGTCAATAGAACAGTTTAATACCACATTCACCTGACATTACCAAAGTTAAGTGCTTTCACAAGTAACATTCCAGATAATTGAAATCATCCAATGGTAACATGAGTTGTGGGAGTATTTGTTATTTTCTACCTTTCCTAATGGAAGGAAAAAAAAAAAATTCTAGTCTCTTTTCACTAGAATAAAAAAGAGAAAAAAAACAAACTCACTGCTGTCTAGTCAGATCCAACTCATAGCGACCTCTCCCTGGGTTTCTGAGGTGGTATCATTACGGAAGCAGATTGCCCACTCTTCCTTCCAAGTGCACTAGAATAGACTTATTAAAAGTCAGGCCCAGGACATAAATTTCTATATATTGCCAAAGCTATTTGGAGTGAATGAATCAAATGGTATAGAAACTCAAGGAAAAATTTTAAGATGTACACACACATTTTCCTAATTAGTGTTAATAGTTGCCATAGCAGTGGGCCCCCAGGCTCCTGCTCCAAAGTTATGGTGAGCTATTGTCCCACTGCCTGTGGTTTATCAGTTGACAAATGTCTTGAATAACCCTTCTGCTTTCAGAGAAGACCTTGGGATGCAATCAGGCCAGTCTTGCATCTCTAGGCTCTATAGTATCAAGGTCTGTCTTCAAGTAACAATGGCTTGTTGCCTACTAATGTAATTTGAGAGCTGCAGGGTAAACCCTTCCCTTATTTTTAACACGTCAGAGTGAATTACTTTGAGATCCTCTCCACTTTACTGAAAAGACAGTTCTTCAGGAAGAGGAAGCGGAGGAAGGAGATGGATCCAGAGCGTGCAGAAGTACCTGAAGTCAATTGCAAGGGTCTAGATTGGGGTGTTAGGAGCTCTGGTAGCATAGTGGCTAAAGCACTTGACTGCTAACCAGAAGGCTGGTGGTTCAAACCCACCAACCACTCCTCGGAAGGAAGGTTGGGCAATCCTACTTCCGTAGTGATACTACCTCGGAAACCCAAGGAGGGGTCGCTATGAGTCGGGGCCGACTCG